TCAGGCGAAACTAATCTGTAGTATTAGAATTCAAGAATGAGGAGAAGAAAGTGTGGCGGGGGATGGAGGGGGGAAATCTTGATCTACATGTTGGTTAAAACTTAATGTATACAAAAATGATTTGTCTACATTTCTGCATGCATGTCATACTTCAATTAAAAAAGTATATTTTTAAGAAAAATTCTCTATGTTCTCTGAGGCCTCACCATGTGCTAGTTATCTTAAAGCTACTACCTACCTCTCTCGTTATCTTCCTGGTCCCTATGGACTACTGAGCCTGCTATCTCTGTAATTCAGTCTGCAGCAATGGTGCAACATATAATTAATACCATATATACATATATATGTATACATACATACATATGTGTGTATGTGTGTGTGTGTGTGTGTATATGATGTATTATCTGAACAAGCTACCATAACCATTAGAACTCAACATCCTAATATACACTAACATTCTTTCTGGATGATAACACCTAACCAACTACAAATAGGACCTACTTTAACAAAACTGAATATATGGCAAATACATCTATAAAAATGATACATTCACAAATTAAAGATAAAAATCATACTCCATATAATTTCACTTATATGTGGAATCTAAACAAATGCACAAATGAAAAAACCAGAAACAGACTCATAAATACAGAAAACAAACTGGTGGTGGTGGGGAGGGGATTGGTGAAGGGATCAAGAGGTACAAACTTCCAGTTATAAAAAAGTCATGGGGATGAAAAGTACAGCATATGGAATATGGTCAATAATACTGTAATAACTGTGTATGGTAAAAGATGGTAACTACACTTATGCTGAGCATTTCGTAAAGTATATAACTTAAATCACTATGTTGTACCCTGTAACAAATAAAATATTGTATGCCAAGTATACTTCAATTAAAAAACAATCATTCATACTAAGTCTTATGGGGAAGAAAATGTATATTCTTTTAGCATTGGGGCTTACCCACCAGTGATAACAACAAAACTGGCACTGCTTATTAATCAATCACTAAATGTATCAGAGTTTATTTAAAATGAGTAACAATATGGAAATAAGTTAAAAAAACATGTTACCACAGTATATAATTTCATTCTCTAAACAATACTGTTAGGTTACATGTTACTATTCCCATTTTACAGGTAGAGAAAAAAATATCAGAGAGTGAACTGAACTGTCCCAAGTTATAAGATTAGTTTGCAAGCAGCTCTAACTAAATTTTTAGGTAGATATTTATTTAAAAATGTCAGGCTCTATGCAATATAGAGATGAACCTGCATTTCCTCTCTACTTAGTCTGGGAAGAACAAGAACAGCACTTTATAATCCAAACTGCATCCAGCAATGGGACCTTAAGTTATTTAACCTGTGATTCAACACCGTCATTTGTAAAATGAGGATTATTTCAATTATTTTGAGGACTGAATAAGTCAATATAATGTTTAAACAAGTCTCTTACAAAAGTAAATAATATGTAAATGTTGAATAAATACCAGAGAAGGGTGCCAAGACCATTCACTGGGGAAAAGACAGTTTTTTCAACATATGGTGCTGGGAAAACTGGATATCAACATACAAAAGAATGAAGGTGGACCTTTATACCATATACAAAAATTAACTCAAAATGGGTAAAAGACCTAAACTTGAAAGCTAAAATTACAAAATTATTTGATGAAAACATAGGGGTTAACTCTTCATGACACTGGATTTGACAACGATTTCTGGGAAATGACACTAAAAGCACAAGCAACAAAAGATAAATTGGACTTCACCAAAATTTAAAGACTTGAGCATCAAAGGACACTATCGAGGAAGTGAAAGGCAACCAATGGGAGAAAATATTTATAAATCATGTATCAGATAAGGAATACTCAAAATATGTGAAGAACTCCTACAATTCAGTAACAAAAAACAAAAGTCATTCAAAATGAGCAAAGAACTTGAACAGACATTTCTCCAAGGAAGATAAATGACCAATAAGCACAAGAAAATATGCCCAACTTCATTAGTCATTAATGAAAACCAAAACCACCAGACCACTTCACACCCATTTAGGATGGCTATTAAAATATAAAAAGTGTTGGCAGGTATGTGGAAAATTAGAACTCTCCTGCACTGCTGGTGGGAATGCAAGATGGTGCAATCACATTCCACTCCCAGGTATATACCCGAAAGACCTGAAAGCAGAGACTCAAAGAAATCCTTGCACACCAATGCTGATAGCAGTATTACTCACAATAGCCAAAAGGTGGAAACAACTCAAATGTCTATCAACAGATGAATAAGCAATATATGGTGAATGAAATATTATTTAGCTTGAAAAAGGAAATTCTGACACATGCTGCAACATGGATGAACCTTGAAAACATTATGCTAAGTGAAATAAGCCAGAAACCAAAGGACAAATATTACATAATTCCACTTACATGAGGTATCAAGAATAGGCAAATTAATTCATAAAGACAAAAAGAAGTGACCAGGGGTGGGAGGCTGGGGGGTATTGGGAGTTCTTGTTTAATGAGTAGTTAACTGGTTAATGCTTTTACCTGAGATAATGAAAAAATTCTAGAAAATAGTGGTGATGTTGGTACAACACTGTGAATGTACTTAATGCCACTGAATTATACGTTTAAAAATGGCTAAAATGATAAATTTCATGTTACATATATTTTACTACAATTAAAAAACTGAGTGCTCGCTTTGGCAGCACATATTACTAAAACTGGAACACTACAGAGATGAGCATGGCCCCAGTGCAAGGATGACATGCAAATTCATGAAGCGTTCCATATTTAAAAAGGGAAAAAAAAAAACAAAACTGAAAATACTGGAGAGCCACTGAAGATCCTTAAACAGTGACAATCTGCATAACATTTTATTAAAATTAATAGACAGGTTAGGTATAACACTGAAGTGGAAAAAAAAGAGTAAGACTCAAAGTAGGGTTGGAAAGAAAACAGCTGCTGGAGAAAACTATGTTCTTGGCCTAAAATGGAACATTAACTTTGATCTAAGAGGTTTCCTACATGGTCTACTGGATATAGTTGTTTGAGGGTCTAATACTGATGCCCAGTTACTCCAGAGGGGTCACACTGACAGAGTTTGTGTAGGAATGCTAATGGTCAAAATGTTAAAGAACTTCAAGGTAAATATAATCTTAAAAGATTTATAAATGTTAGCTATAAATATGCTTTTGAACTTAAAAATTTTCTTTGTGCTGTTTTTCCAAAAAAAATAAATTTTCATTGCATGAAAATACCTTTTTAAAAGTAAACAACACAGTGCTTTACCAATCAATGTCTGCAGTTGTTTATGGTTAAATGTTGCCTCATTGTTAATGGAAGTGTTTCCTTAATAGCAAAGTTTCCCCACTTTTCTCACTTGAATTAATAAATGATTTATCACTGTCATCTGTGCTGCTATGGTAAGGGAAAGGAGTATTTTATTGGGGGATGAAAGTCTATACACTCCTACAAATTAGAATTAGAAAAGTGAATTAAAAATGAGATTCATTGTTAAAATCATCTCTTTTCCAATTTTGGCCTAGGTACTTAACAAATGTACAGGTATCCCTCCATATTAAAAATATCGACATTACAAAACTGCTAAAGGTGGGAGGGCACATTTATAGAATTTTGACATTCTTTTTAGACATGTCCTTATAATGAAATTTTTATCTTCTTCAATTAAGTAAATATCAAAGTCCACATGTCAAATGGGTACTCTATGCCACCCTAGAAAATCCAATATACTGTCCCTTTTCAATTCTGTATAAACGAGGCTGGTGCAGGAATAAGTCCTTAATTGTTTTTATCTCTATCTGCATCCCCCAAGCACTAAAACTATCTAATCCTAATGCCACCACTTATACACTCAACATTTATTGAATCACATTCAGCAGCCATTAATCACTTTTTACCCTGATTAAAAATACTGCCTATGTTTATATAGTTACCTGGACAATTAAATGTGTTACATAAATAGTGATACCTGTAGTAGATTTCTCCAGGTTAGTTTAAATGTAAATAACTCCGGGGGTCAAGATAAATCAAATGGAGACCTTTAATCCTTCTAAGTTAGAAGGTACTGACATACACAAGCAAAGGTCAATAAATATACACAGTCGCTGAAATCTTGGTTCTGAAGGCCTAGTTCCGACATGTCACTCTTACAGAGGTACACTGCACAGTCAAAATAGAAAATCCACCAGCTCTGCGACCAATAAATTATGTTGAGATTTACCAAAGTCAGTTAAGCATCGTTCAAGATCTCTGTCCTCTTAAACGATCAAGTCAAAAATGGAGTCTATTCGGCCAAACTCAGATGTCTGGGTATCTATATTGTATGTATTACTCACTCTTCATTTCTGTGATCAGATGCAGTCGCACACATAAGGGAGCCTAAGTTACAAAGTTACTAACCAAACGAATAACAAAAACATTAAGAAAATTAAAAAGCACCCGGACCCAACATTAATTTAAAATGCATTAAATGAGCCTCGGGACTAAGCACTACGTGGATTAGTTGAATAGTCCCAACTGAATTTCCTAAAGGTCTTACAGAAATGCAGGTCGTGAAGAAAGCCAAAGTGTTCGGTAAATTAAGATTTTAGGGTTTCTAAAATGCAAGTGACAGCTGGCTCCCCGAAACGAATGGGATGGGCGAAAGGAGGGGCGGCTGTAGGAAGACTCCAACAGACTAGAAGGAAGAGAAGTGGGCCACCCCCAAGTCCAGAGCTCGTCCGAGGATGCAGAAGGGACGGGAGGCGATCTCCTAGGCTAGGGAACGCGGATGGCCAGGCCTCGTGCCCTCCAGAGACTCCCTTGTGCACCACCGGGGGCTCCAACCCAAGAGCGGAGGCCTAACTGGGCAGTGGTCTGGGGCTGCGGCCAGCGCCGGGCATTCCGCAGCAGGAGATCGCAAGGGAGTCGGGACCCGGAAAAAGTGAAGGGAAAGCAGGGACGGACACACAGCGCCCACAGGGCTCGCGCCCGGCCTCACCCTCGCATGGTGAACTTGACCACGGCGAGTCTGGAGCCCGCGCCGCTCAGCTCCGGCTGGAAATCTGGGTCGCTCCCGACCGGCTTCACTCCCACCATTCTCAGCCCGGCAGGGCGGCTGCGACGCCACCGGCTTCAAAACTGAAGGAGAACACTCGGGAGAGGAAGGGGAGAGGTTCGGAAAGGCCAAGGCCTGAACACTGGAGGTGCCAACCGCAGCGTCTTCTCCGGGACTCTCAGTGCCGAGTCACGCCAGGGAGCGGAGCGGCCGAGGGGGTGGGGACGGGAGGGGGGAGGGGAAGGGAGAGGCGAGGGAAGGAAAGGCGAGCGGCACCCAGCAGCCACCGCGCGACAGGGCCGCCGGCGCTTGCGCACGTTGGCGTCATTTCCGCGTCGTCCGTTTTGGCTCCCACCACCCAATCCTAAAACGCGACCCCTGGCTTCGCCCCCTCCACTGAGGAGCCCCGACTCCGGCTGGAGCGGCGCAGGCGCGGAAGAGTAGCAGTCATAACCTCAGACGTGAGTGCGATTTAGAAGTTCGTGTGTTCCTCCGCGGTTCCAAGATCCGTGGCTTCTACTGACTTTCCTGGGTTGGGAAAGTAAAAAGGAGACCTCTTTTTCCCAGAGGCTCGTGGCTAAGGTTTTAACCCCAGTGCTGGAAGAAGTACTTTGTCTCATATTCGGGGGGCAGATCGCCACGCTAGACAAAAAGAGACTTTAGGTACATTGATTTACGGATCTCATGATACAAGGGTGCTCTCTGTGCACTCATCCACAAAATATCATGCACCTGTTTTTAAGTTGTGCCTGAAAAAAATGAAAGCACCATCCTTCCTTTAGAAACACAGTCAAATGATAGACGTCAGCAATAGAATAACAAGTATGCAAAGGAAACGGTCGGGACAAATGAGACCGGAGGATGGGGCAGGGTAAACTTGCTAGAAATTGTGGCCCCGAGCTGGATCTTGACAGAAGAGAGCCAAATGGTGAGAGGAGACAGGAGTATTACAGGCAGAAGAACGAGCAGTACCGATTCGTGGTTTGGAAGGGCTGATGATGATAATAATAATAGTTAATAAATTATGCGCTAGACAAGATACATGCTCTTTGTGTATATTAGCTCATTTAATCCTCACAACAACCCTGTGAAGTAGGTTCTGTCATTTCACGGTTAGACGAATTTTCCCTAGTTCACACACCTAGTAAGATGTCAAATCAGCATTCAAGTTGAGGTCGTCTTAACACCAGTGTGTTCTTTTAAAAAGTCAGGCTACGTGACAAATGATTTGCTTTTGGGTTTAGCTGGGGTGATGAAATTGAAGAGGAAGATAGAGGTCTGATTAGGACTAGCTTAAGAAATTTGTATTTTAACATGAATGCAATGGAGTAATCACTGTAGGGCAATTTTTTTTTTTTTTTTTTAATTACAAGAAAGTGTCTTTAGAGAAAGCCCTGAGGTAGCAGTGAGGAGGTTGGAAGGCAGTAAGACAAGTTTAGGTTACTGTAGTAATCCAGGAAGTGAGTTATGGGAGCAGCTGAAGTGGAAATGAAGAGGACATAATTATTTGAGAAACAATTAGCAGCTAAAAATCACAGGATTTAGTGACCAATTGGACCAATTTAGAGCAATGACAGATGGAGTCTAGGATAGTGAAATATTTCAATTTTGTGGCTCTTTGTACTAAGTTAAGATGCCAGTAGGACATCTAGGTAAGGAGTATAGCAGATAGTAGGAAGGTTGAGTCTGGAACGAAAGAAAAAGGAGTAGGCTAAAGTTGCAGATTTGAGAGTCATTAGTTTTAAGGGTGAAAATTGAAGCCCAGGAACACAATTAAACAATTTGGAGGCCAGATGGCAATTGTTGTCCCCGTTCTACTGATGATGAGGCTGACTTTCAAGAAGTGTATAACTCATTCAGTTATACAATTGTACGGCTGCTTAGCCCTCATCCTTGCACCCAACATTATACTGAAACAGACTTTATATGCATAGAAATTTTTAGCAGATGTTATTGCAAGGTGATTCTCTACTGAGCGTTTTTTCCTCTATATTTTACAAATCTCTTCAATAATTATAAATAGTATGTATAATAAGAAGAAAGAAAGAAGGTGCAGCTGGGGGGAAAAGTGCTATACAAAAATTCTACAAAGAAGGTCCAAGTTTCTTCCTTACCCTATTAGTAGTAATTAAAACAAAAATAATATTCACAGTTAATTGGTCTCCTATGAAATTTAGGTAATGTTTACTATCATTAAGTAAAATAAACTTTTGGTGGATGAAATTTTCCCCCAAAATGTTATTTTTTAAATTTGTTTATACCACCCTGAAAACCCCATTTACTAGAATTTCCATGAAAATTTTAGAAAGCCTTACCATTAAACTTCTGCAAGGATGACTTGAGATTATTTTTAAAAGGATGATACACTTTCTCCATTCCTGAGATGAACATATTCAGAAATGCAGAATACAATGCACATAAACTCCCTCCACCCCGTCCCTCACTTGGTGGGCATCACTCTTACAGGACACGGTTTCCCAGGGTCTATTTAGCCTCAGCCTCAGAATTCTCTTCAGCTCCACCCACTACCAGAATCAGCAGTCAGGAGGAAACCTATTTGCCATCTCACATCTTATTATAACTGTTATGTCCTGAAATCCATAGATCTCAAACTGCAGTGAGCTTGTTAAAATGTGGGTTTCTGGTGTCACACCCAGAAATTCTGATTCAGTAGTGCTAGTGCATGGCCCAAGAATCTGAATTTTAACAGGCATCCAGAGAAGCTGATGCAAGGAGTCCATATTTTTAGAACCATTATTTGCTCCTACTTGTCTACTGTCACATAGCATTTAGAATGCATTTAATATGTACAAGGTACTGTGATAATGCTTTGAAACACCTTTCTTCCAGGGACATCAAAAGGGAGATAAGACACTTCTACAAAAGCTAATAATACAAGGTAAAATGTGGTAAGTGCCATAGCAGAACTACAGATAACATACCATAGTGGTTGAGAAAAAGAAGAGAACATTTCCAGCTGGAATGAGCAGAGAATGCTTTATGAAGTAATATGTTCTAATATTCAGGCCTGGATAAAAATAAGAAATGCATAAACTTCTTCATTCACAGAAATGACTCCTGACTTTCCTCTTAACTCATCAAGAATATAGTTCACTTTAGACTCACCCATTTTTATTAAGCTCAGCCAGTCACTAGAGGAAGCTTTTCTATCATAACTTGTAGCTGCCATGGGTTCACTTTGCTGACTTTACATATAGATATGTTGGAGATACATCATCCATGGCTTTATCTCTCCCATAACCCTTTGCCCATGGTAGGTACAAAATGAGTATTGGTTGGATAAATGAATGGCTAGGAAACATAATAAGTATCACAAAATGCAGGGGTACAAGAAATATTACTTTGATGTATAACTCAATATCATTTTGACTCTGAATCCTCACCATCCTCCTGTAGTCAACTAGAACAAAAACAACCTTATCTCCTCCTCTGCCTGCTTCAGAAATTGTACCAAATTTCTGGATTTAGAGTGGAAGTGGGGCTTTGGAGTGTAGATGTCTAGGAGCACTGTCTCTTTCTACACACCATCTTGAAATCTAGCTCTTTCGGCTTCATGTGACTACCTCAGGGATTGGGACCCTTTGTTTGAAGCTGCCTATAGACCCATCTGCCTAGATGCACCAGTCTGCCATTTCTTCTGGGGTGTTTTTCGTCCCTTCTCCCCTCCATAAAGATTTTCCCTTGTTTTCATTAAGAGTTTTATACTTTCAGCTTTTAAGTTTATTTGATCCACCATCCACCTTTTTGAGCCAATTTGATTCTAATCATTTAAAAGTATTCTCATGACAGGAAAGAAAGGCACAATTTCCCAGTTTCATATATATTTGTGTGTTTGTTGGGGAGGCAGTATGCAATAACCATAAAATCTCTGATATGAGTTTTTCTTTAGATGTAGTCCTCCTGTAAAAAGTGGAGGAAATGCCACTTTCTGATTTTTTGAAGAGCAATAGCAAGAATATAATGTAGAGAGAACTTTTATTCTACAAAAAAAGTCTTCATAAATTCCTCTGAGATATAATATACCTCTTTAAATAACTGAATTTGTATTTGCAGAAGCCCAAGTATATAGATTTATTGATGAATTCCATAAACCATATGAAATCCCCCCATTAACTTATCAAAATTACAACTACCCCAAAATTCTACATAAAAATAACTTCTGCCTGGGGTGCCTGGGTGTCTTGGTCGATTAAGCATCTGACTCTTGGTTTTGGCTCAGGTCATGGTCTCAGGGTTGTAAGATCAAGCCTGGTACAGGACTCTGGGCTCAGGGAGGAATCTGCTTCTCTCCTTCTATCTCCTCCCCTGTCCCTCCCCCGCTCATGCTCTCTCTCTCCCTGAAATAAATAAATCTTAAGAAAATAACTTCTGCTTAATAGCTTATTGTTACCTTATTCCTGAAGAAGTAGAAAACATATCAGTTTAATTCTTTAATCAACCTGGTAATTTATTTAAAAAATAATTTTAGATAAGCTTTGATTTATTCTTAAAGTCTTGAGGGAAAAATATGTAATTTATGTAATATAAATATTAAATAGAAAGGACATCCTGCTTCATAATTTCCAAACCTTTTCTAGTTGTAGGCTTTTGAATTTGAAAATTGAATACCATTTCCCATGGCTGTCCCTAGGTGGCGCAGTGTCTTTCAGTCAAAGGGGTATGATTTCCCCTTAGATATCAAATGCTTTTTTTTTTTTAAAGATTTTATTTATTTATTTGACGGAGAGAGACACAGCGAGAGAGGGAACACAAGCAGGGGGAGTGGGAGAGGGAGAAGCAGGCTTCCCGCTGAGCAGGGAGCCTGATGTGGGGCTCGATCCCAGGACCCTGGGATCATGACCTGAGCCCAAGGCAGACGCTTAACCACTGAGCCACCCAGGTGCCCTTCAAATGCTTTTTTCTTTAATTTAATTTTATTATGTTATGTTAATCACCATACATTACATCATTAGTTTTTGATGTAGTGTTCCATGATTCATTGTTTGCGTATAACACCCAGTGCTCCATGCAATATGCAATACGTGCCCTCTTTAATACCCACCAGCAGGCTAAACCATCGCCCCACCCCCCTCCCATCTAGAACCCTGTTTGTTTCTCAGAGTTCATAGTTTTTCATGGTTCGTCTCCCCCTCCGATTTCCCCCCCTTCATTTTTCCCTTCCTACTATCTTTTTTTTTTTTAACATATAATGTATTATTTGTTTCAGAGGTACAGGTCTGTGATTCATCAGTCTTACACAATTCACAGCGCTCACCATAGCACATA